ACCACTCAGAGTATCATTAGCTATAGCCTTGGAGGTCTCCCGAGCTGGCACGTCACTCGCAGAGGAGAGATGTTCACGTCACGCTATATATATAGTCTTTTGGAGACGAGACTTTGCAGTTCGATTTCCCAGTGCGGATAGGAGCAGGGGAAGAAAGAGCCATTATCGAGGCCGCGATTGCGGAAGTCGCAGGAAACTGTGGCTCGCTAATCGGGAGATTCCGGTGAGTATATACGTATCTGTGTCCATAACAATCGACTAACTTGTATCGGTTAAAAAGTGATCGATCGCTGTCATTGAGCAAACGATACAAATCCATGTATGTATAGCTGGTACACGTGTTGACAAACACAATTGCCGAAGCCCCTATGCGTTGAAGCATTGTCAAGGGGCTTCACCGGGGCTCGGTGTTTGCTTACTCGCAAATTTAAATGAAACTCAACATCAACGGCGAACTTACACCCCACCGTTTGCTCCGATGGATTGTTTGCCGTATTGATTTACACGCGCGTCCGGCCGAGCTTCGTTCACGCGCGTGCTTCTAATTGAATCTCCCCCCGACCCCCCCCCCCAACGCGTGTACATCGTAATTAGTCACAGCGGACGCGACGTAAAAATGCGCGATCGGTATATACCGATGCCAATTTGGAGATTCGGAGATCTGGTGCGCGTCTCGATGGATCGTTAATGTGTTCCGTTGTATCTGAAAAGAGAAAAAAAAGGACCACGATACTTTAGTCGATGGGTAGCGAAGGAAACCCCATCCGCATTTATCGGTACGAATGGAAATCGGAGCCCTTTATTTTTTATACCGAGAGAGCAAAAAAGCTACCTCAAGTACGCTTCATTTATTATCCAGAGGCAAAAAGAATAATTTATAATTTGAAGTTCACGGGAGACGCGATGCCGGTATTAAAAGCTCTTCGGAACGAGCTTGAGTATACCTTCGCGATTTTTCTCGGAAATAAAAATACGAGCATCAAGTCCGTTGCGGAAAAGAAAATCATCGCATCACGAGCTTATTCAAATGTTTAAATTCTATTGAACTGAAAAAAAGGATGCCTAATCAAAGACGCGGTATATACTTGTGGTTTCGACGTATAAATCGTCCGCATCTTGTGCACAGGGAGCTTTCGGGCGTCGCGAACGAAGAAACCCGTAAGGAGTTATTCTCCCCTGGAGGAAGATCGATGCATCCTCGTCACGTGATACGGTTTCCGTCCGGGTGGAGAGGCAAGGTGTATAAATTATTTCTTACCCCCGTTTTTGCCCGCACACGAGGTAGTCTCTCCTGATTTCAATGTTAAGGAAGAAAAAAAAAGGGTCAAACCGCGCTGTTCAGAGTTTTGTTGCTGCGAAGCCAAGCTTTTTTTTTTTTTTTTTTTTTTTGCTATGATTTATGAAATACAGAGACCAGCTTTTGTGAGAACAAAGTAACACCGAGACCATACATGCATATCCCTCGGATCTCAATGGATGGAAAAGAGGTACAATAAAATCGGTACGGAGCCATCAACGCGCACAACTCAACCGAAGGATGCGAAGGAAAAGGAGATGGAGAATGAAAGAGCGAAAACAAGTCCCGAGTCCATTGCTTTCCCTTTTGTTCGATAGTTATGGATACGGGGTTCGGAGCCATTGTCCCCCGGGGGAATAAAATTCTTCATCACGGAGCGATTCATTAGCGAAACGTCGCCCAGGAATTGCAATATTGGAGCTGCGTTGTTTTTTGCTTCCTTTTGTCGAAGCTTATACCGATCTACCGCCGTTTTGATCGAAGATGCCTTTTTTTTTTCATTACCGCTTAGATGCGGCCTCTGTGTGGCGCTGATTGGAACTTCTTCGACCAACTTCGCAACTATCGGTGCTGCTCGAAAATGCAAACGTTACTTGTTGTTCGACACGAACGAGCGCGGAAGGACAAGGTAAAATCTAAATGTAAAAAGCCAATAGCGCGGGGATTAAAGCGGAAGAGGCCAGCGATGCGAATGAAAAAAAAAAAAAAAAAAGGGATGGGAAAAACATCGAGAAAACTCGTTGGCTCGACTCTGGCCGAGGCAAATCAAGTTTTCCCGGGCCCCTTCTTCTTTCACTTCCGGCGCCTCCATTTGCCCTCCCAACTCGGATCGAAAGTTAGTCTTTTCGCCGCGACCGACCTTAAACTTTGTTCTTTTCCCACGGGCGTGTTTTCCCCTTTGGTTTTTATTTAGCTGGCACGAGCGCCAGGAGCTAATTTTCTCGCCCCAGAGTCCGCCGTCGATGGTGTCGGGGACCCTTTTTTTCTCTCCACTTTGATGGTTATCGACTCGGAGAAGCGACAAAATAAAAGTAACTCGAGGTGAATGTCCCGACTCGAGTAAAACGTTTTCCAATCGATTTTTCATCTCAATGGCCAAGAAAGGCTCATATTTTCATGCGCAAGCACGGTCTTGAAATGAAACGTCACGCTCGAGAAAAGCACCGCATCCTTTTATTTTCGAGCGGGACAAAAGGTGTAGTCTCGAGTGGGGGCGTAATGATTAAAACTTTTCCTCCCAGACGCTCTAGATGCAAAATTCAGGGCGTATACATACGCAGGCAAACAAGAGTAGACGACTCGAGACTTTTAGCTGCACAGGGAGAGAAGGGGCTCGCCAAGTTTTTGAGTGGCCCCTTTCTTTTCTATTGCGTGAGGCGCAGGGATGGGACGATACCCCAGAAGGGAAAGAAGAAAGTTCCCGCTGTCTTTCCTCTGCTGCGGGAAAGTACGGGGAATGATGGTAATTATTATCCAGCCGTCAACAGCCCCAGCAAGGAAGTCTCGCTTTTTTCTCCCCTACTTCAAGATTTTTAATTTTAAAAGTCAACAATTTTCTCTCTCTAAATCTCTTCTAACCTACGAAAAGAGCATGGGCTTTTCATCGGAGCTTAAACCTGTTATTTTTTTTATTTTTTGACGTAGCACTGTAATGATTATACATACGAGCATCGGTTGACAAAAAGAGCCACATTGAAAGTAGATCGCAAAGTCTCCAAGGAGGTACCGTTGTACCGTTTTCCGCATAATGTCCTTCTCGCACAACGAGGTCTCAAAAGTTCGAGCTTGCCCTCAAAATCCCGCACAACAAGAGGTAAACAAGCACCGCGAAAAGTTCCCTCCTTCTAGTCGCAGGGAGTTTGGTAATAATAGTCGAGCAAAAAAAAAAAAACGGTAACAGGATGGAGGAGTTTGGTACATGTAGTCTTGTGACGGGGTCGCTCCGAACTTTTGTTTATACTTGGACGTGAAAAAATCTCGCAACTGCATGAAAAATGGTAAAAACCCAGACCCCTAAAATTTCGGTGGGTAACGATGAAAATTCACGCGAAAAACAGCTCGCAGTGGTAAGTGTAATAAGCATCGTTGAACTGCGATGAAGGAAAACAAAAATGAAGTACCCTTTTTCGCGTTAAGAGGGAACGAACGAGGCGCAACTCTCTCGCAACGAAACGGTTACGCCATTCAAAAATACAGCTAGTAAAAAGCTTCGAGCCGAATGAATACCACCGATCCTAATGGCCGCGCGATTCGCGTTAAGACGCGCGTAATTACTCCATTGTACGAGCCATGCTACTTCTCTCTTTCTGTTTTGCAATCCGCTGCTCACTGACGAGCTTGTACCATGTTATTACGTTGCGCTGAACTGTGAAGATGCGTGTTGGTGTAATGATAGTGTGAATTTAAAGTAAAATTCGTTTCGAGTATACGTGTGAAACAAAAAAACAAAAAAACAAAAATAACTTTACTTCATGGTTTTTCAGCCATAAAAATATGAATTATGAAAACAACGCAACACTTCGCATGCGGACGAATGGAAAATTCATTCTTAGTTGGCGCTCGTTAAAGCCCCCCTTTCGGACGGACGTGACTGTCGTTAACGGCGCGCCGGCAGCGCTGTCCTAATGAGATTAAAACACACCGGCAAATCTGGCGAGTGTCTTTTCCGATGAGATTCCTCGCTTGATGCGTGTGCTCGTTTACGGCTATACAATAGGGGGGCTTTGCTCCCACAATATAAAATAGTTCTCAATGTGTACTTACAACTTGCGTTAAAAACGGTGTATTTTTACACTCACCATTTCTGCTGGTTGAACTTTCGCTAATTTAATTAGTTAACTAATTGATCCTTGGTGGCAACCGAACTAATATTAACTGTCAATGTATTTGAAATACAAAAAATCATGGTGACAGAGTGCAGATGATTAAAACTCTAACGGCTGGTGGCTGACGTTTCGAGGAAAGCGTTTAAAAGCTCCGGGGAGGGGACTATTTGAAATCTAATCATTAAGTTTAAAATTACCCAACAAAAAAAGTAAATACAAACCAACAAAATGTAGAAGGAGCGCGAGTGAAACTCTTCAGGCTAGCAAGAATTTAGCGACCGAGTGCTGCCTATGTAAAGGCGTCGTTCAATAAGGGTGGCGGTTTATTTGTTCGATCGGTGCAAGCTCGTCCCGCGTCTTCAGGTGAGCCCCTGTGAGCTGCGCTCACTTATGTACGTTACGTATCCGTGTGCGTGTGTGCGAACTTACGGGGATTCATTTTTGGTCCAGTTTTGCTCTGTGCAGCAGCATACAAGGGAGTAGTTGAACGGGTAAAGGGGCCTCTTTTTCTCTGCTCCCACGTAGATTGCCTCTTCGCGCTTGGCAGCTCTTCTCCTTCCCCCTCGCCTCCGTTTGTCTCTGGCAAATTCCTTTGCCGTTTTCAGGTGCATCTCTAGTTATTTTTTTTTTTTATTTTTTTTTTTCGTGTCATTGAATTTTTTAAAAGAATATCATACTCACCAGTCAATCGTATGATTGTTTTAACAGAGCCAATTATCCATCATATGGGTATTTACGGGAATGTGCAAGCATTTGCGAGTCAATATTTTTCATGTATGATAAAAACAAAGAAAATTAGATTTTAGGATGGGATTGGAGCTCTTGGTCGGAGGTGGAACTTGTTACTGGAAATATAAACATAAATATACAGCAAGACCTCGAAATGCTCTAAATCTTTATTGCTCATCGCCTATAAAATATGATCTTTGATATGTGAACTCAATCGCGTACAAATATGGACGTGGGATAAAAATGTAAATTTTTTGCTCTCCTGTTTTTCTCATCTTCATTGTTCACCAAAACATCGTACAATCAATTTTTTCACTGATAAACACAAGGTGGCATTTTTTTAAATAATCGTACTTTTTCGAAATTTTTGTTTTTGTTTAATTCATCAGACACTTTGAGTACAAGGATTCATTGTTAATAACGTTAACTCATATTTGTCTACGATAATTTCTAAAGTAACGGTGCTGCTATACTGTTCCTACATCTATATCCGCGATAAATGAGATGTAATATTCTTTACAGTGTTGATACAAAAATACGATATAAAAATAAAATAAGAAATAATAGCCTTTGCACATCGAAATGACACGAACCGATGATCGGTGACCATTCGAGTATACGTATTAATCGACGATTCCCCATACAGAGAATCTCTTTAATTCGCGTACGTGAAAGCAAAGGGAAAAACAAACCACGTGAGAATTTCGCGTCAGTGCAAAGACACAATTTTTGTCCGAATGATCCACAACTTTCGTCGAAACTCAACCGACTCTTCTCGCCAACGTCACATGACACCATCATCACCCCCCAGGTCCACCGAGTTTCTTAGCTTCGTGCTCCACGAGAGAGAGAGAGAGAGAGAGAGAGAGTCTCAGACGAAGATAAAGTGCGGCCGTGGCTGGCAGAGCGAGGCGTCGCACTCCGGGCCGGTCTTCCTGGTGCGTAGCCACTTGCCGTGGCAGTGGGGCGAGCTGAGCATGCTCCACCTGGTGATCATAGCCTCGGCCCCACCGTCGCCCTCGCACCGCCAGTCGAGCACTCGGCGCACCGCCTGCAGCTGGCAGCGCACGCAAACTCGGGCACCTGCAAGCACACCACCGATTTTTTTTAATCTCACCGGAGGAAGGAATCGGGCAATAAGCTCGAATATTGCCAACGCGGGAAATTGGATGTTTAGGGGCACGGCTGCGCGGTTCCAATTAAGCGTATACGCAATTTCCACCGGCCGCCTCTGGAAACGCTAGTGTATAAAGGCTCGCAGGCGAGACCACGGCCAATTTTCCCCCAATTTAGCTACGAGTCGTTGTCCAGAATCTCGCGTCGATCAAGATAAATTTAACGGCTGCCACCCCCGAATTAGCTGATGGAAAAAGAACCAAAAGTGACGATAACTTCTTGATGCGTGATGCATCGAGCACACACCGAACGTACGGTGCATCGGACAAAAGAGATATTTTCCAGTTGAGCGGTCGAGCGGAGGGATGAAAAGCTCCCGGCGAGCCGAGTAAGCGCCGGAGCTTTGGTTGGTTGAAAAAAAAAAAAAAAAAGAGGGAAATCACTTACCCTCCACGAGGTCCGAGAGTCCCGGCTCCTTGTAGCAAGCTTTCGTGGCTTTTGTCACCGTAAACGTCACGCAGTACCTGCAACAGGGGGAAACAGAAGATCCATCAGATCGCTCGAAAGTGTACCAAGTGGAGATGTAGTTACACGCGATGTACGTGCAGAACCTCTCTCTACTAGACGACGCGTGTTATGTATCTACACAAGTACTCTGCGAAGTGTCAAAACGACTGTAAGAACTTTCAAGTCCTGAGAGCCCAGTGTCCTAAATCCACCGCGAAACTTTCGAGGCCGGCAGTGCCTGGTATCGTGAATAATTTATCCGAGCTTTCGCTACGTACACATGTGTCACATGCACTCGAGTTTCGGTGCTTCGACGTCATCCGCGAAATTGATCGGTATCGTCCAACCGATCCTACTCGCTGTATTCTTAAAAAAAAAAAATACTCGGTGTTTCGTCTCTTGGGTAGTACTTAACATACATGTATAGTGAAACTCTGCCTTCGCACGTTACTCCTGTACATATATATACCTAAACTCATAGATAGATGGATATATATGGGCCAAGAGGGAGTAAAGCAGTACGTTTTTAATCGGCAAAGTGGATCGAAGGACCGTCCGCAGGTCTCGTAGAGAGCCCGAAGTATGGAAGGAAGGAAGTGGGTACCTAACGGAGTAAAATTGAGGAGCACGCTATCTCCGACCTGCACCCTCGAAAACTTTGTATATACACCAGGTATACCCACGCCAATACATATACATGTATAGCTAGCGGGCGATAGAGCGAAAGAGAGGCGGGTGCATTCGAAAAACTCGTCGCTAGCCGGAGGATGTCGATTGCAGGAAACTCACTCTCTATCGCACGGGACGAAAATAAAAAAAAAAAAGATAAGGATACGTGTAGTGGCCCTCGCGAGCGATTCTTCTCCTCCAGAGGGGGTACTTACCTCGTATACATGTAGCGAACGACCGCTTGACCCTCTCTCGATACAACGCGGGCTCCTTTCTCCAGCCCCGTCTACTTGTATCCTCATCCCCTAGTACATTTTCGTACCCCCATTTCCTTTTTACTAAGTACATGCCCATTGTGAGTCAGGGATCACGCTATCGACGATGTCGCCCCTTCCCTTATCTGTGTATACACTCTCCACCTCGTGCCCATGGATATACAAGTTTCTCTCGCGAGTGAGTATCCCTCTCTTATCCTCCCCGCGCTGTTGCTCTATACGCGATTTATTGTGTAATATTTATAACGGATTTCGCCCAATGGACGATACATTTTTTTCTTCTCAAAAGAAAGCTTTGCGAGTTTTATTCGACACAAAGTGGATCCCCTGCAACTAGGTTCAACGTAACAGGAAAGCTCGCGTGGAATTGATATGTAGCTCGAGATGGCTAGGTTGAGAAGAAGAGGCAATTACACACCTGATGGGTTACATATTACCGTAGCATTTTTCCCGCGTGAAGTATGCGAGTAACGTATACGTGACGCATCGGCGCGTGCACGTTAAAACCGAAGACGTACATGTGCATTTCACGTGTATACATAAATATGTGCAAGCTGTACGTTAAATGGGCAAGGGACCATATATTATTATTATGTGCCATGTAAAATAAGTATGCACTGCACGCGTGGACTGGTGAGCCGGAGCTTGCAGACGTCTCGCCTCCTCTTTTCCAGACACGAGTACGTCTGTATGCATGTATACATATGCGTGAGAAAAATCAATGCAAAGGCAAGCTCGAGAATCATCGGAGACGAGAAACCACAAAAAGTATATCACAACAGTGGTTAACCTCCACGAGTGAGAGCATAAAAAAAAAGCTCGCACGGAGCTCGACGCGTGTCCTCGAGTCTTTCTCTTTTCCCTATACATCTCTCTGTAAGTATTTATGTATCTATCTAAGCTGCACACGGGACAAAAGCTGACTCACCCGAGATGTCCTTGCAATAACATCCTTGGGAGCATCAGAGCCAACGCTACGATGTTTAGTACCTCATCTCTCGGCGCTCTGCCCCGTAGAGCCACTTGGGCGCGTATTCCCGCGCGTCGTACGTAAGATATAGAAATGGCGTACATGTATAACGGTGCAGCTTATATACGGAAGGGACCATCGATTCCCAATGGTCGAAAGGAACAACTGGACCCACGTTGGAGCCGTTTACCAGGAGCTACTATATGTATATATCGCGTGCTCGCACGCACGCCTATTACCTATATACACGTGTACATTCGTACGCGCATATGCACACAGAGTACATCCAATAGCAAAGCTGCTGCGCAAGCACGGAGCTTGCACAGTATGCAAATACCCGAAGGCTTCCACTTTGGGATTTTGAGGCTTATCAATGCAGCGATTGAATATTTTTCAACAGATCACGAGACGACTCGTGATTGGCATCGCTTTGGAACTAAATAAGAACAAATATGGTTTTACGGTGTTTAACTGCACACGATACAATTTAAACGATATCGACTCGGGAATGCTGCAGGATTTTAAACATCCTGTCGCTGATTTAACACCCTTGCAAGTGCAATAAAGCTTTCTTTCGTAAATCTTTGGGGGAAAAAATGTTTTTTGGACATACTACACCACTGTACCGCATCTGTAAAAAAAAAAAAAAAAAACAACACGTATTGTAGTCAAATTAGATGTGGATTAGATGTGGACACCAACAATCCTTACATCCCGACAGCAAACACGCGTCCCGAATGCACAGCTGTTACGTCGTAAACTCTGCGAGCCGGTATGGGTATAACCGAATGCCATCGTGCCTCTTAACCGTGCCCTGACTAGTGGGCAACCACCACCGAGTGCTGCGGTACCTATATCGGTACGTGCACGTACAGAGGCACGTATTATGTTTGCACGTGGGTCTACATCAGTTACGTGTTGGCTTGCATATATATATATATATATATATATATATCCTGTCCGTCGTCCACGCCAATGCTGGCACAGCTACTGTCGTCCCGTATCAAACCAACGTACGGAAGTTACTCCGGAATTCCATGGACTGACGAGGCTTATTGCGAGCTTGCAAGGCTTTCTCGTGTAATCTCGATGGGTCATCGTGACTCGAACAAACTCCCTGACGTGCACTTTGGGGGATATAATATCGTTAACAAAAACCACTAGTTGATCCAATGATATTCTTCACATCATTTTTTTGATCAAACACAGATTGTGAAATCAGCCAACTCTTTTTTTCTTTTACCGAGCAAACATTCGTCATTTTCATTTTTTTTTTTTTTTTTTTTTTTTTTTTTTTTTTTATTAAAGTTACATTTTCTCGTGTTGTGCATCAAATGGCAGAGGAAGAAAAATCCAACGATGCTCGGGCCAACCACATTCACGAGGCTCTCTTTTATAAAATTCTTTCCCTCTCCCGTACATATACATGCCAAGTGGCCTTTTTTTCCATGCTCCATACCCTTCATTTGCTTTGAAAAAAAAAATTACTTGGCGAAACTCTGACCACTTCCACGTATCGGATTCTCCTTGCGTCAATTTTTGTAAAATCAATATTATCGGGAGACCGCGCATCATGTACTGTACAAACTAATAAAGAAGAAAAAAAAAAGAGCTGTAGAGTTATAAACTGTACTTCCTCGCTCCTTTTTACGGAGTCTACGTGTAAGAGGTGACCTCCAACGTCGTCCTTAACTGTAAGAATGTAATCATCGCGCGTAATCTCTTGTGTGAACGACACCACCTCCGTACCTACCGATACTACAGTAAAAAAAAAAAAAAGATGTGCAGTCCCCAAGTGAGACATCGAAGCGCGTGCTTATCTCGCGGGATCTCTTTGGCCAGGAGGGGAAAGCTCAAGGAAAGAAAAGCTTTCATTTTCGACGTCGCCGAGGGGGGATGGGAAGAAAAAAAAAAAGAAAAAAAAGGCCGAAGGGACGGAGGGAGCAAGGCGTCGATGTTTGGGTAACAGATCGACTCGCCTCGCGGCGCTAAATGCCGAGCTTGCGGAACATCTCGGCCGGAAAATCTATTCGGGCTCGATAAAAAATCCGAGCGCGGCCCCTTTTTCCTGTCGACCGGGATGTATGTGCACCTACGAGCGAAGGTAACTTTCTTTCCTTTTTTTTTTTTTTCCAAACTCTCGATGAATACACGAGTGTGCTCTCTTATCGCGGCGCGTCTGATTAAAGAGGAGGAAGAAGAGGGAGCACGACGCGAACGGGAAATCCGCGAGATTTATACTGGCGGGGAATCGGCGTATATTTTACCGAACCTCGAATGGTTTTGATTTGAATTTTGGAAATTCAATTGTTTTGTTTTTCATCATGGAAAATTTTACGAATAACCAACTCAAGGGAAAAAGGTCAATTACTTTGGTGACTTAAATTGTGTTCCTAAAATAAAATAAGACCTGTATGGGATCCAAAAAAGTTAATACATGCACACTCGTGTATCTCGTGTCGTGGAACTTGGCAATAATTTTAATGGACATTTAAGTATCGATTTGTCAGTACTAAAAAATTAATCATTATTTTACCAGGCACTGATGCTTTTCAAAACCAATTATTTCATTTTATTTGAACTTATATCTTCTAAATACCCACTTCTAGAATTGTCATTTATGCTCATTTTATTTTAACCTTTGACTACAACCGTAACTTCGAACGTAATTTATAATTTTATTCTCTTCATCTTATATATTTTTTTTATCATCATTACTTCATCATGTGATTGCGACTATGATTTTTGAGCAAAAGACCAGCACATGCGTATTTTTTTCACTATACTCTTTCACAAATGTATCAGTCTCGAGAAAATCTGAATCTAATTGTGAAGCTGGTTGGTACGCTATGTCCACAAATAAAACAATAACTTGCAAAATTTTAACAAATTACTCAATTTAATAAAATACAAATGCAACGCGACCAACATCATATGGACAGCGTTGTCTTGGTACTATTTTTCTCTCTCAAAGCAATCGAGCGTAAACCAAACAGGACAACCGCGGGCACTCGATTTTCCAGTCCTTCAGTTCCTCCTTTTTTTACTCCCTCAGAGCATAAAACGTGCTCAGCTCAAAGGCAAACGAGGCTTCCCCGATGGGCTTGCAAATAGAAAATCGACCACAGCCGCAAACAAACGCCCCCAAAGACAATATGCACACACGTGCAAGTTGGAAGCTTTTCCACCCCCGGTGAGCGCCAGAGATATTAATCGTGCCAAAACGGCGACCGCGCGGGACTGTATCATCATATTTACAATGTAAGTGCAATTACGCGCACCGCGAGTAATGCAAACAACACATACCATGGTGTAGATATAGTACACACAAAGGCAGGCACGAGGGAGAGAGCGAATGAAGAAAGTTTGGATACAATCGATAAAACCACGGAGGGCGAAACTCTCGGGGCACTTGATAAATAATATTCAATTACCCGCGAAGTATAGCTACGCTGTCCTGGAATCGGTTGGCTGCGAGGGATTGGAATATGCACGGAGCAGGAAGTTTCGAGGCGAGGGAGGGATCCAAGTGCAAGTGAAGACGAGTTGGGGAGGGATGCTCCTGTAAACGCGCTCAACTCCCTCCGACAGTCGGGACGGACCAGAGGACTTGATTAATAGACGCGATTTATTAGGTGCTTAAACTTGGCTGCCCCCCCCCCCGTTGTTGCGCGAGAGCGTGTTTATGCTCGCACCGTTGATCAGTGACTTTTGGGGGTTTTTTTTTCTTTTGTTTATCGTTCTCTTCGGCATCACTTCGAGTACTGCTGTAACAATGCTTTTTCTTGATAATTCATCGCCATCGGAATTACGTTGAAATTCTACGTCCTCGCGGAGTCGTTTGGACCGTCAAAGTTTCGCGCGAGGCTTAATTTTACGAAATTTCGCCTGATGCATATTGTACGTCATACAACGCGATCCTTTGGGCTGGTAATACAATATGAACGTCGTCAGCGCGGTTAAAATCGCTCGGCAAAGCCGAGACACACTTTGTTCCCCCTCCCGTGCGCTCATTTGGTGAAAATTAATTATTTCAGTATAATATCCATAGGGAGGTGGTGCGACGGTATGGCTCCCGGCTACGAGTTTAATGAGTCTGCGGCAAAGACGTATATGGCGTGGGTATTGCTATGTATACGTATATTTCTGAGGCGCGTTAATTTAGCGGCGATCCCCGCACGAGGGGTCGTTGCGACGGCAGTGATTTGGGGTTTAAAGAAAACGACGACGAGAAAAAAATGAAATCAATCGTTAATTTTCATGATTACGAGGGTAGATAATTATCGGGACGACGGATGGCCATTCACCTGTTCCGACAAAGTTCCCCGACTTGTTTAATCAAATAACATCTCATTCACCTCTGCAGTGACCATCGGAACTTTCGACTCCGAGCTGGCTCTCTGGGAAATGAAAAAGTTCCGCGTCGCAATCGATTCCTTTTCAAACTTCCACGGCCTGCACTCGTACGCCCACACATGTACACCCTCCATACGTATAATGTACACCAGCACGCATAGAGCAATAATTTCAATGCAAGTGAATTTCAGGGGAGCCAAGAGGACCAAAGAAAGTCGAATGAGCCCTCGGATCGAAGGGGTGGGAGGAAAGCTCGTGCGCCCGAAAAGTCCGCATGAGGGGGAAACGTGTTTTTTGGGTGGTACCACATACTCTGGCCACTCGCCAAAAACAGCCCTACTGCCGAGGGGAGGGTCATTGGAGGAGCACCCCCGAGTTATCAGTCAAAGGGGCGCACGCCAGTGAATAAAATAAAGACCGGCGTGTATCGGCGTGACTTTTTTTCATTCCTCGTTCTTCTTTCCACTCGCGATCGCAGAAGAGCTTTTTTCCCTGCGGGTGGAGAGAAAAAAAAAGGGGGGGAGGGAGATTACAACGATTTGTTGGATCGTTGGAACGAGTAGCAACCCACGTTATTTTTGATTTATTTACGGGTTTTAAGTTTTTTGATGAAGGACAATAAAGAGAAAAGCAGCTGAAATAATAGCACACTTACTCTTTCGAGGCATCGTGTTCCGGATCGTCTCTGTACTGGTAGCGGAGATTCGTCCTTATGTCGTTGCTGTCGTTGATGTGTCGCACGCCGCTCAACTCAGCCGGCAGGAGGAGAGCAACTTCTGCAAGTACGGAAGGATGACAGTTCGTGAAAAACGAAAAAAAAAAAAATAAATAGCTAATTGTACAGCCACAGACAAGAGAGTGGGAATCACAGCAAGAGCGCGAGACCCGTAAGAGCCGGTAGGGTTGAAGCCCTTGAAGTGTTATCCGCGAGCTTATCCACAAGCTGGGCTAAAACGTCAATCGCTCGGTGTCGTTCCACGTCTTGGACGCTCGGAGTCATCGATCGTGCACAAATAGGTACTAACTACTCCAACCTTTGACTCGTCCCCACACCCATATACCCATACACTCGTCATTCATGAAAGGGACGCAAGTGTCCTTGATCGTACACCACTAGAGGCTAATGTACGATTTGCTAAGGCCTTCCGGAGGAGCCATTTACAGGATGCAGATGGTGATATCATACGCGGATGTATATATTACTATACGGTCATGAACTCTTTTTTTAATGGCTCTTTGAGATGTCGCGTATGTATTTATGGCTAAAGAATAATGATACATTAATCGTAGAGCTGTACAACGATCTGTTGTCCATTTTTTTTTTTTTTTTTTTTTAATCATTATACATTCCGTTTCGTATATCCGCCGAGAGAGGAGGTGTGTACGAGGCTGAGAGTGATTTTTCTTCAAAGAGAGTCTACGAATAACACACTAGAAAGAAACGAAAAAAAAATGGCCAATCTTACCTTTGAGGGCCGACTTGGGGTTGCGCCTGTGGCACTTGGCACCCTGACAGCCCCGGTGCTGCATCAACTGGGGACAGTGTTTGCCGCCGTTCTCCGGCTCCCGCTCGACCAGCCTCGACCTCGTCTGGGCCCCGGGGCCGCACTCGCTGTCGCAGACGGACCATGGGCCCCAGCTCGACACCACGCAGTCCAGCACTGAAAAGTAATCAACGTGGAACATTGAAATTTTTTTTATTTCGCTCGTAAGTTTGTTTCGTCGCTGTTATTTCCTTGTTATCCATATCGCGTGGAGGGCAGCCTAGCTTCGGTCAAAATATGGTACGGTACAAGAGAACGTACGAGGTTGGCTTGCAAGCTTATTTTTTATTTTTTACTCTTATTTTTTTTACATTGCGTTTTTTTTTTCTGTTTGCTTCAAATTTTTTGTTTTTCGTGGACCAGAGAATCAGGCAGTGAAAAAAAAAAAAAAGGAAGGAATGTAGTTGTTTCGCGTTACTTGTTCGGGTATCCATATATTTTTTCGTTGAAGTAAAAAATGTTTTTTCGTTAATAGAAATTGCCGGGCTCGCGCACACGAAATTCTTGAAATTTTCAAGAGAAAAGCATCGCGAAAAAAGGTTTTTCACATTGCCTGGCCGCGTGTTTTAAATTCCTGGAGGGACCAGCTTTCTCTCTGCTCTTTCATTCACCCATTTTTCACGACTACCCTCGCTCACACATGGTGTCAACCGCCAGACTTCTTTCTTGTTTTTTTTTTTTTTTTTACGAGAAAGTTTTTCAGTATTTACATTGTAAATTCCCAAATTGCCACACGTTAACAAAATACGGCACGGTAAAAAAAGAAAAATCCAAGTAAAGTATAAAATCGAATATGTCATTAGCTGTGGCACGTCAAACAATTTGGATGAACGAAATTAAAAATTTATATTCATGAAAACACAAAATAAAAAATTCAAATGACACTCGCAACTAATTCTTCCATGCACCATCCCAACTCCGGATCAAAAACCCTCTTGCCCTTCAAAAAACACAAACAGTCATGCCAAGATATTCAAATCTTTCACGGCATACCCTTTCGCCTCCCTCTCGCGCAAAATCCCAGCTGCTCTTCTCTCACCTCCGTTTCAAAGCCACGGAGAGAAGCCTACAAGGAGCGACGAGAAGGAGGGGGTGGGAGATTTCATCGCCTGCTTCCTTCGCTTTTCATTACCACGGCTTTGCGAATTACGTTCCGGATCTCGCCGAGGCTCTGCGGGCTTTTCTTCCCGGACGCAATATCACTCTACTCTCGTGGATAACGCTGCTACACCCACGCTCGACTGAATATAATAAAAAAAAGTAAAATAAAATAAATAAAAAATAATACTGGTTGCATACGTACAAGTTGACTTTTCACCTCGAAATTACGCGTGTATGGCAGTAGAGAGCGCATACAACATATATGTATTTATAAAGTACGACTAACGCGCCGTTATAGGTGTACCTATACACACCCAAGTACATGTATTATGTATAGGGGTGTAATATGATACAACGGTGCTGGGTGAATACGAGGGCAGTAAAAGTTTATGGGTGACGGTAAAGTGCAGAGTGCACAGGGTAGGTACACGGGAAAAACCAAATTACGCTGTAGCTTGATCATACACCCGCCGAGTTGGTAGTTTGGGCCGGTAACACATTACCCGGTTTGATTCTGCGACTTGTTAATTTTTCATTCGAGATGTGAAATTTGTCGCGAGCACCCCGGATTCGGCGGCTCACACGAGGGAAATGTTCACCCGAAAATTGTGACCTATGCGTATGTGCGATAAAACAAGGTATATTTTGAATATCGATCAATCTCACGTGATTTTTGCGCAAATACCTGTCGTTTTTGACGCCATGTGAAGGGAGTCGAAAGAGTATGATATTTATAACCTGTAAAAAAGAAAAACAAAGAAAATCCCGTAGCGGTGAAAATCCAATTTAACCTGCAAGTCGTTTTTCGTATACAAAAAAGTCCAAGTACCGAGAAGGGGCGAAAAATGAAAGGCTCCCGACATCGACGTAATATTTAAACGCGGACAAAGCCTCGTGCGTCGCCCGGTAAATCGCCAAAGCAATCCCCGGAGAGGAAAAAAAGGAAGGAGAGCGGAGAGACAATGGCACCGAGCAACGGATCGAATAAGCAGCCACCGACGTCGCTGGCGCAAAAAAACAGCCGCACCAAAAGTAGGTACGAAGGAAGGAAGGAGCAATCGTTGGGTGCCTTTTTTTCTCTCTCCCTTGGACGTCAAAGTCAGCTTTTTTTAAAACTCCTCGGCGTAAATTAAGGGCGGCTCGAAAAGCGACACTCGGTTCTTTTGGCTCCGCTAAATCAGCGGTCTCAACGCGCTGTTTGTCAATCCAAAGGGACCGTATACACGTTTCATCCAGAGATCGAAGTTTCGCCCCGGGAAAAAGTTTCGTAATCTTGTAGATCCGCCGAGACTTTGAGGATTTTTGCTTTGAACTCATAAAGCCACTTTGCCGCACATTTTTTTACCAGAGTATCGCGTTACGGGCTGCAAAAAAAAAAAAAAAATCTCGTAATTATGTACGCAAACTCGATGTAAACTTTTACTCCACGCGGAGTTTGGAGCCGGAAGCACATTTTCGCGCGAAAACTCGTGTAATTGGCGTTTCGAGCTTTTGATGGCGAAAAATAACGTTTCCTCTGGATTTTCCACGAAAAAAAGAGAAAAAAAAAAAAAAATCTCATTTTTTTCATCAACCCTCACGTTTGTAAAAAGCACGAAAAAACAAACGCAGCTATTCTCGAGCGGATGCAAAAAAAAAAAAAAAAAACGTGTCGTTTCCACCAGGCGACCGTCGGTACGTGCTGTCGGCGCGAGCCCAGGCGGCCCTCATGTGGATCCTCGAGGAGATAATCGACAAGACGCTGTCGGACGCGAGCCAACTGGCCGAGGCCGCGGGCAAGCAGAGGGTCGAGCTGGCCGAGGTCGAGAAGGCCCTCAAGATGCTCTGCGAGCGCTATCACGCCCGATGGTCCTCTAGCAGCGACGTGTCCGCCACCAGCCAACCGGCCTCCAAGAGGAACAAGCAGAACAAGAACAACAGTGACCCGAAGCGATAGTCGACTCTCTTCTTCCTCGTTACTTTTCTCCCTAATTGTCTCGCGTGCACACCCCCTGAGTCTATTGTAACAGTTTGGTACACCCTTTTTTTTCTGTTTCGTTTACCCTATGTATAATACTACTCTGAGAGTTCACGTTTGTAAGCTGCGCAAACGAGACCCTCGACTTCTTCAAAGGCAGCCGAAAAGGTTTAGAATTTACCTCTTCTAATTAAATTTCCTGCCCTCCTTGATTTGCCTATTTTATTACACACACCCTCGAGTGTAAACGGTAAAAAAAAAACAACTCAAATTTAGTTTTTACAAAGACACGGCTGTGATGTCGGCCAACTAAAAAGAAAAAAAAAAAAAAAGGAACCTCGAGAGCTCGAATCCTCTGATGAAATGTTTAATTACACTGTATATGTCCCCTGCGCGTACGCAAATGCGCATTTCGGGAGGTTTAATCTCTAACTCGCGGGGGAGAAGCAGGTCGACAGTTGACAAGAAGAAGGAAGAAAAAAAGAAACCCGAGATAGCATAATAGAGCTGCGCACCTGCCACACTGTAACCGGGACAAAAGTTTTTGTAGAAAAAAGAAAAAAAAATTTCCTTAGATATCCCGGTATACGGATGTATAGAGTGAGGGTGGTACTCGTAATGAGCAAGGGAAGTTGACTCGATGTTTTTTTTTTAAAGATCCCTTGAATCTTAATTTAGCTCGGGGGACATTTCACGAGTTCTTTGAAAAGTCGACAAAACGGTATCGTTATCAAGGTAAAAAATGACCGAGTCGGAGAAATTCCTCCTCGATGAACTTGACGCGTGAATCAAAAACGACACGGCTGCTAAATGGTGATGTAGCGTTCCTCCAATGGATGAATTTCAATTTATCGCACCACTCAGCGGACGATAAATCACCACTATATAGGAGAGATCCGAAGCTCAAAATAACCCAGAGAGCAAACAGTGCGAGGGGAAGCCCTAAAAAGAGTGTCGAGTCGCATCTCGCGCCTCTTTTGCTCCTCCCAGGTATCAGCGACCCGTCAACGGAGGAGGTCCGCTCGGTGAGTGAGCTCATGCACGACTTGTAGGGCCACAGCATGATTTATTGCGAGATACAGAGGGGCCTTTTTTTTCTTTTTTTTTTTTTTTTTTTTTTTTTTTTTTTTTTTTTTTTTTTTTACGGACGGACACCGAGTGAAAGAGTCCCTCTCGAGAAGTAGCCGTTTTTTTTCTCCCTCAAAAGGAACGAGTTGGTCCCCCGTTTCGGGCCGGGGCGTCTGGTTACCTTTTGCACATCGGGGATCCCGTGGACTTCCAAGAACTGAGGGAAAAATCTGCGCTTTTTTTTCCTTCTCTCGTTTTGCGGTGCGTTAGAATATACTCATTATCCTGCTTGTGTATCCTCGATTTGCTTTTCCCGAAACCTTTCAACAAAATTAATTGAAACCCGTAATTTGACAAATTAATAATTTGACTGCGCTGACACACTTGTGTTTTTAAAGGAGCACGTCTGGCACGATGAATTAAATATACGTTACGGTTCATAATAAAAAAACTGCAAGCGAATGAAGTAGCACAAATTTTTTATTTATTTATTTTTTTAACCACTCGAAATCATCCAAAATTCAAAGTCCATCATCACATACCTAATTATTTCTTTGCACCTCACTGTGCAAACTACCGGCTGCTGATGCACTTTGCAAGATAATTAAAGCGTTTCGAGCTCAGCCACGCAATAATCATTAGATGAAGCCTCGACACTTTTCAGCCTCGTTATTTGTATTTGAATAAGTAAACATTCACCTCTCTAATGGCGCTGGCATAAACATGTATATACGTATATAGTTGTTACTTTTCAACCAGGTCACAGCGGTACCATCACGAAAAGGCATTAACAGCCCTTTTAAAAACAGCAATTACAGCGTGATTACGTTTCACCGAGTATAATATGCAATTACGCCATTCCCCCTCCCAGTATTTATAAAAAAAAAAAATCACGTTTTATGGGAGGTTATCATGGTGACTTCTGCACCTTATGTACAAACAATATAATATTTCATGATTGTAATTATTGTTATTATTATTTTTTTTTTTT